CTGGAAGTTTATGTTGATGATATAGTGGTGAAGAGTTTAAAAGCTGACGATCACTTAACCGATCTTGCGGAGACATTCAACAATCTTAGACAAAACAGAATGAGGTTAAACCCAGCCAAATGCATCTTTGGTGTGGAATCCGGAAAATTCCTAGGTTTTATGGTTTCCCGGAGAGGGATCGAGGTCAACCCAGAGAAGATCAGAGCAATTACCGAAATGGAACCGCCGAAGTCAGTAAAGGACATACAGAGGTTGACTGGAAGGGTAGCAGCTCTTCATCGGTTCATATCAAAGTCAGCAGACAAGTGCCTACCATTCTTCAAGATTATGAGGTCAGTTGCCCAGAAGGATGAATCAGGCAAACAAAAGAAGTTTGAGTGGACTCAAGAATGCCAGGCTACATTCGACGAGCTGAAGTCTTACCTTAGCTCACCACCTCTACTGACTAAAGCCAAAGATGGAGAAATCCTCTACCTATATCTGGGAATTTCAGATGAAGCCATTAGTTTGGTTCTGGTAAGAGAAGAAGCCAAGCAACAAAAACCAATATATTATATCAGTAGTGTGCTGCATGGAGCCGAACTGAGGTATCCTATAGCTGAGAAAGCAGCATTAGCAGTCGTCACTTCGGCCAGAAAGTTGAGGCCATATTTCCAGTCGCACCCGATCATTATCCTTACAGACCAACCCCTTCGGCAGATTCTACAAAAGCCTGAGTGTTCCGGCAGATTAATTAAGTGGGCAGTAGAACTGGGGGAGTTTGAGATAACATTCCAGCAAAGATCTGCAATCCGAGCTCAGGCACTGGCAGATTTCATTATAGAATGCACCCCAGGTAATTCCATTCCTACTCCAGAGCCCAATGACTGGACCCTATATGTTGATGGGGCATCCAGTAGCAAAGGTTCAGGAGCTGGTGCTCTCTTGGTTGGCCCAAACGGATACCGAAGTGAACATGCTCTGAAATTTAACTTCGATGCAACAAACAACATGGCTGAGTATGAAGCCCTGCTACTGGGTCTGCAGCTAGCCTTGGAATTAAAACTCAGTGCAATCCAAGTGTACAGTGACTCCCAACTGGTGGTGAACCAAATTAACTCAATTTGCGAAGTTGTTGATCCTGTGATGGTGAAATATGTAGCTCTGGTGGCGGAGCTGAAGTGCAAGTTCCAGAAATTCTGTTTGAGCAAAATTCCCCGAACTGAGAATGAACAGGCGGATTCACTCTCTAAAATCGCCTCTGATAGTTCTTCACATTCCAGATCAGTCTTTGTGGAGGTCTTGGATGAACCAAGCTTCGTGAAGCCGTGGGTGATGGAGATCAGCACCAACCCAGGCACACCGAGCTAGACGGACACAATCCTTTCGTTCTTACGAGATGGGATAGTACCTGAGGACAGGCAGGAGGCAATGAAGTTAAGAAGGAAAGCATCTCGGTATACACTTCTTGATGGGGTCCTCTATAAGCGGTCTTTCTCTCTACCCCTTCTACGGTGCTTGAACCCCTATGAAGCAGAATATGCACTCAGGGAGGTACATGAAGGTGTTTGCGGAAGTCACGTAAGTGCTCGAACTTTCGCCCATAAAGTCCTTAGACAAGGTTATTATTGGCCCAACATGTACAAGGATGCCACTCACTTTGTTCAGAGATGCTTGAAATGCCAGTTCTTTGCACACCTGACTCACCAGCCTGCAAAAGAACTTACTACTCTGGTAGCACCATGGCCATTTGCACAGTGGGGATTGGATCTTTTGGGCCCATTCGTGAAGGGGGTTGGTGGTGTAACCCACCTGATTGTTGGTGTAGATTACTTCACAAAGTGGGTCGAAGCTCAACCATTATCCAGTCTTACTTCCAAGAAGGTTGAAGACTTTGTTTTCAGCTCAATCATCTGTAGATATGGGATCCTGAATCAGATTGTGGCTGATAATGGAACTCAATTTAACTGCACCTCTTTTCGAGATTTCTGTTCCAGCTACGGGATTAAACTGCAGTTCACCTCAGTTTACCATCCAAAGTCCAATGGCATGGTCGAATCTGTTAACAAGTGCATCTTAGAGGGTATAAAGCCGAGGCTGGAACAACACAAGGCCAAATGGGCAGACGAGCTCAACAACGTCCTCTGGGCGTACAGAACTACAAGTCGAACTGCCACAGGTATTATTCTACACCAGGCCTATTCGGTTAAATTTTATATTGCTTTACTTCGTCTGCTACAGTTTTACCTTAGAACAACTACGCATAACGTGTAAAGCGCATTCTAAAGTTATAATCCACTGAAATAGGTGAAACACCATATCATCTGGCCTTTGGTACCGAAGCAGTCATTCCTATTGAGATAGGAGTTCCAAGCTTCAGAGTCACCCATTTCGATGAAGGACAGAATGGACAACTGCTTCGGGGGAACCTTGATCTGCTTGATGACCTCAGAGAAGAAGCACGACTTCGAACTCTAGTCTACAAGCAGAAAATAGCAAACTTCTACAATAAACGAGTTCGACCCCGATCATTCAGAGTAGGAGACCTTGTTCTCAGGAAAGCTGGTCTGACGGGGTTCGAAACTCGATTTGGCAAGTTGGCGCCGAACTAGGAAGGACCCTACACTGTCACCGAAGTGCTACACCCAGGTGCTTATATCCTACGGGACACTGAAGGAAAGAGGGTTCCTAGAGTCTGGAACGTCAATAATTTGAAGAAATTTTACCCTTAATGCATTTCTTTCTAGCAAATTTTGGCTCATGTTTATTCATTGTTATTCCAGTTGAGACCGAACTCAATTACTTCACATCATTAATAAACTTCACTTCACATTCGAAGTGATTCAGTCCTTTCATTAGGACTTATTCAGTCACCTCATTTGTTGGATTATGATTTTATTACACTTACTTTTGAAGTGATTTACTCATCTGAAGGACGCCTCTTATATATCCAAGGGTAATTCC